GCGCCTGGCGCCGCCGCGGAACGGAGGCGAAGACGCAGACGCGCGGGCGGGCGGAGGTGCGGACGTTCACGCGGCTCGGAGACAGGTGCGCCATCTGCCTGGACGACTACGAGGAGGGCGAGCAGCTGAAGGTCCTGCCCTGCTCGCACGCCTACCACCGCCGCTGCCTCGACCCCTGGTTCTCGCGCGCCGCGCGGCGCTGCTGCCCGCTGTGCAAGCGGTCGGTGGCCAGCACTTGGGACGGCTCCAGCAGCACCGCCGACAGCCTCGCCGACGACGACGCGTCGCTGCCCGGACGCCGGACGCCCGTCTGGTCCATCCAGGCTCGGCTGCGCCTGCGCAGGCTGCATCTGCTGGTCGGGCCCGGGCCCTCCAGCTGCTCCAGCGCCACGTCGTCGGGTGGCTCCGAGAACGTGACATCCTCCGAGGGGTTCCCAGAGCCCTCCTGAGACCGCCCCCGTCTCGGTTCTGGGGTGCACGGGGCGGGGGGACAGGCGGGGTTGTTGCTGCAATAAAACGCGTTTGAACCTGAAAGCCGCTGCTTAGCTAGAAAGCGGGGCTCTGTTCATTGCCGGGTGTTGCAAACAGATCCTGAGCGGGCCACCCAGACCCACCCACAGCCCGCTCCGTGTGTTTGTTGAGTAAGTGAGCCCCCATACCGGTCTGCTCCCCCTTTGGGAGGTGGAGGTTGGGACTGAGGCCCAGAGAGTACACTGCACTGCTCCACCTCTCTCAGCCTCAGTTTCCTCGTCTGTAACGCAGGTGACATCCACCCTACCAGTCTTTCTTTTTCTTATTTTTTAAAAATATTTTATTTATCATTATTATTATTATTATTTTATTATTTTTGGTCTTTTTGAAGTAGGGTCTCCCTGTAAGACCCAGCTGTCCTGGAACTCACTATGTAGACCAGGCTGGCCTTGAACTCACAGAGATCTGCCTGCCTCTGCCTCCCGAGTGCTGGGACTACAGGCCTGCGCCACCACGCCCAGCTTATTTTTTTTTTATGTGTATGCGTGTATTGCCTGCACATAGGTCAGTGCACCCGTGTCCTGCAATGACTGTGGAGGTCAGAAGAGGCTGTCGGATCACCTGGGACTGGAGTTACACACAGTTGTTAGCTGCCATGTGGGTTCTGGGATTCGAACCCGGGTCTTCTGCAAGAACAACCAGTGCTCTTAACTGCTGAGCCATCTCTCCAGCCCCCCTACCAGTCTTTCTAAGGATGCTGGGTGATTTCAGAGGATGTGCAAAGGCCTGGGGATAGGGGCAGTGTGGTTGGTGTTGGTTGATTGACTAAGTGACTTGCCTGGTTCTGTTACTGTTGATCAGGACCTGTGTCTTGGAGGCAGCATCTCCTACACCCAGCTGGCGGGTGAGCAGTCGCTACTGTGTCCAGCAGGTGCTTAATAAGAGCACACGGGGTTCTCAGCCTCCACATGCGCCTCAGCCTTCTGTAAGCAAGGGGTCTTCTGTCGGGTCTCAGCCTCCTTGCCCCGCCTCCTTCCCCACCAATGCCAGGCCCGGGCGCATCTCCAGCCGCCTCCAGGAACCACGACTGCCAAGGAACCCCAGCTGCTTGAAGCCAACAGTTCCAGCCCGCCACCCCCGCCTCGGCTACCGTCCCCCACTGCAAAGCACCAGTGGGGGCCCCTTCCTGCCCAGCCAGGCAGCACCCCATCTGTATTTGCTTAGGCGGGGGAGGGGGACAGATGGGGAAACTGAGGCTCAGCAGATCGGGGTCGCAGGGACCACAGGGGCTGCTGTTGAACCCTTCAGCATCCTGGGCACCAGACCATGCTCTTCCAGGCATCCAGCCTTGCTTGGGCTCCAGGTCAGATTCCTGGGACACCCTTGTTTTCCAAAAAGGGAAACTGAGTCTTCGAGGGAGCTGCTAATGGCCAGGATGGCAGAGACTAAAAGGACCAGAGCAGGATGTGAACTCGGGCCCCACAGGCAACACCCACTATGCCCCTTGTCTATGCTGAGAGGCAGGGGCCCCGAGATCTCAGCCCTCAAAGACCACGGGCTGAAGGATCGGGACAGCCAGGGTTGGGGAAGCCCCAAGAAAGGGGCTTGGGGGCCCTTAGGGAGCTGCGAGCCTGAGTAGGAAAAGTTGGGTGGAGGTACCCCCCGCAGGAATGGGCACGGCAAGTGTGGAAGCTCCAGGGCGCTGTGGCTCTGCTGCCCCCTAAACAGCTCGGCCCACCGGCCCAGGTGGAGGCAGGACCTGGGCGTTTGAGGGCAAAATCACCCAGTTGAGGTGAATTATGGGCATTCACTCATTTTTCTATCAACAAACACTCCTGGAGGCTGGACTCTGAGCTGGGTGATCCTCCTGCCTGTCTCCCAAGTGCTGGAATTACAGACACATGACCCTGGGTGAGAACTTGGGCTACTCTTACAGAGGACCCAGGTTTGGTTCCCAGCACCATGGCAGGTAACAACCAACCATAACTCCAGTTCCAGGGAATCTGACGCCATCTTCTGCCTCAAAGGACGCTGCAGACACGGGTGCACTCACATACACACCGGCAAAACACACACGTAAATTTAAAAATAAATTAATTAAAAAGCCGGGCGTGATGGCACATGCCTTTAATCCCAGCACTCGGGAGGCAGAGGCAGGTGGATCTCTGTGAGTTCGAGGCCAGCCTGGTCTACATAGTGAGTTCCAGGACAGCTGGGGCTACAGGGAGACCCTGTCTGAAAAGGACCAAAAAACCCCCACAAAAAACAAAAAACCAAACCCCAACCAAGTTAGGTATAGAGAGGTTATGCAACTTGCTCTGGGACTCACGACTCTGAAAGCACTAAGCTGGAATCTGAATCCAGAAAAGCCCATCTCCTGGCTGCCCTGGGCAGATGCCTGCCCTCTCTAAAGTGGGCCAAGCACGGAGCCTGCTTACCGTCCTCTGTCCCATGCCCTCTGCTCCTAGTGACACAACCTTGATAGGCAGAATCCAGAAACTGCTACTGTTGTTCCCAATGGTCAGCAGAGACCACAGCTTCTAGAAGCCGGTTCAAAGGCTGGGATCCCTGCGGGTCTCCCTGCTCTCTCTGTCCTGTCCCTGGCTCCTTGGCTCCTCCCAGGCAGGCCCAGAAGTGGAGGACATCTTAGGAACAGATGGCCGCCTTCCTCACCCAGCGCTCTGCCAGTTAATTAACGCCGCCTGTAATTAAACTTCCCACAAATGAGCTGTCAGCAACGCTAAAGGGAAGCGTCCTTCTCGGATTCCACCTTGGCGAGCTCGGGATCCTGAGTCTTGTCAACAGAATAATTACAGGCAGAGCGGGGGCAACAGGAATTGGGGCTGTTCCCCTCCTCCCCAATATATTTCTATGTGTCCACATCCAGGCTGCAGGATAGTAAGGCCGGTTTATCCCTGCCTTTGTGAATTCACGGTTTTTTCATTGTTAGGAGTCTTTACTGAGTATACACAGCTACTGCCTAACTTGAATTGGCACAGGGTGGGCATGCGCAATGGCCCCAGGGCAGAGGACACGGCCCTGCAAAGGCCCTGGGACAGAGGGACACTGCCCTACCGCGCAAATGGCTACAAGCGAGGGAGCTGCTGGTGCTCTCTGGGACCCCCTGGCGGCTGCTGGGAGGAGAGACGTGGGGAGGGGGCAACCTGGAGGCAACTTGACTATTTCAACGTACCAGGAGAAACACAGAAAACAAGAGTGAGACTTCTCTGTGTGCAAGTGGGAAACACATGGCCCGAGGGAGTTTACGGGGCTGCCGGTGCTGGCGGCGGATCCAGGATGCAATGCACGTGTCACAATGCATCTAAGTATATCCTTAAATGACGCCTCACTACAGCAGATCCAAAGGAGGGAAACATGGGCTCCAAAAATGCCAGCCGGCTTTCCTCTGTGGCTGCTGCTCCAGCCACTCTGTGAAGCGCTTTGCAGTCTCTCCCAAAGTAAAAGAAAACAGACCTAGCAGAGCCCCCAGCACCAACTCGCAGGTATTTACCCTAGAACAGACAGCATATGTCTGCCCCAGACGCCTATGTGTCAAGTCTTTCCAACGCCTAAACCCAGGAAATAATTCAAAGTCCACCAGCCAGGACCACATAAGCACACCAGGCTCTGCCAGCGTGGAATACCATGCAGGTGTCAAAAGGAAAAGTAGTGCATCCCGAGACTGTAGGTTCTTGGAGGACTCTCAGAGGCCTTGTGCTGTGTCCAAGGAAACAGATTCGAACGCTGGAGCTGCACCGCTCTACTTACTCGGTGGGAAAAGCTGGGCCTGGGGCTGTAGCTCAGTGGACAGAACTCTTCCCACCCTACATAAGGCTTTGGTTCATCCCCAGCACTGCAGAAGCCAGGCATGGTGGCACAAGCCTGTCATCCCAGCACTCAGGTGATGAAGGCAGGAGGATCAGGACTTCAGAATCATCCTGAGCTACATGGGGAATTGGAGACCCTGTCTCAAAAAACAACAAACTTGGGTCTGGAGAGCCAGCTCAGTAGTTAAGAGCACCGGCTGCTCTTGGAGAGGACCTGGGTTCAGTTCCCAGCACCCACATGGTGCACTTACATACATGCAGGCAAACACTTATATACATTTAAAAACAAAAGGAAATTGCCTGGCACGGTGGCACACAACTTTAATCCCAGCACTCAGGAGGCAGATCTCTGTGAGATGGAGGCCAGCCTAGACAAAACAAAGAATAAAACAACAACAATTATTATTATTAATAAAATTTTAAAATTTTAAAGTAAAATAAAAAACTAACCGCACAAGTTCCCCTCTGCCGAGTTGCAGCTCACTCCTTCAATAAATAATAAAAATGTAATAAAATATATTTTTTTTTTGGTCTTTTTGAGACAGGGTCTCTTTGTAGCCCCAGCTGTCCTGGAACTCACTATGTAGACCAGGCTGGCCTCAAACTCACAGAGATCGGCCTGCCTCTGCCTCCCAAGTGCTGGGATTAAAGGTGTGCGCCACCACGCCTGGCCATAAAATATTAAAAAAAATAAATAAATGCAAAATACAATTTTATTTGTTTATTTTTGAGACAGCATCCCCCTCTAACCCCAGCTGGCCTGGAGCTTGCTATGTAGACCAGGCTGGCCTCGAATTTACAGCAATCTGCCTACCTCCACTCTTGAGTGCTGGGATTAAAGGCTTGTCACCATGCTTTGCTTAAAATGCAATAATAAAATAAAATATAAATTTCAAATAAAGGCCAGATTCATCTTTCCTTGGGGATGGAACGCCATCGGGGACATGGAAATTGCCCCTCTTCAAGGAGAGTTAAGCCTTGGGCAACCCCCTCCGGTCCTCCCCACTGCCTGGGGTAAATTTAAGAGAACATTTCCATGAGAATAGTGGCCGGGGAGGGGCAGGGGACTAACTGGAAGACTCGTCCTCCACCGGCTCAAGGGGTGTGACTGGGAGGAGAGGAGGAGCCCTGGGCTTGGGGGACTGAGGGAA